CACACACACACACACACACACGTGAATACGTGATAGATGAATATACTAAGCAAATATTAAAATTATAATACTCTTTACCCATATAGACATACAAAATATACAATTATAGTTTATAACAACAACAACAACTTTTAATATTATATTATAAACAAAAACAATTTATAATATATAATATAACAACAACAACAGTAATTATTATTATTATTATTATTTATTAAAGAGATATACATTTTATAAACGTTTTCAAAACAAAAGCTGTGTATAATATAATGCAAAGTGCACAAACCACTCATTAGTCCACATTTGTCATTATAAATTTATGTGTGCGTGTGTGTGTGTGTGTGAGAGAGAGAGAGAGTCATCAGATCGATGTTGTGAGTGAATCTAAGCTCGTGAACAAACAGTCGCTCAGGAAAGTAAATGACGGAGATCTGAACACACACACGCTTCACACACGCGCTACAACATTAATCACTCTATTCTAGATTTACATCTCACAAAAATACAGAGGCTTAAAAATACAATTCCTTACATTGCTTTAAAATAGTCGAATGAAAGGCATTTTTTTATTCATAAGATGCAAACGGACCCTGGAGGCTATTTATCCCACATACAGGCCTATAACACACTCACACACACACTCACACACACACACACACTGGGCTCTGAATTGATCCATTACTGAAATTGTTCGCACATTGCGTGATTCGGTTCAAATGGCGACTGAACCGACCAAATGTAAACAATTATTTTGTTTTGTTTTTAATATTTATTAAATTTACAATGTTTACAATGAAAGTTATAATAATAACTACTATAATCCTTCTATAATTATTACCTGTATTATAATACATTATTAGCCTACTATATATTAATCTACTACTAACAATAATAATAATTATTAGGCTTATCATAAAAATAATAGGCCTATATATATCATTAGTGATATAATTCATTTTACTGATTTACTGGATTTGTTTTTTTCTTGCATATTCCATATTTAAAGTAAATTACAATAAATATAAAATAAGTGAAAAGGCAACGTTTCTATTGCTTTCATTAGATTGCAGGGACAAAATTAATAATATGCGAATAAGGGCAGGAAACAAAATAAAGTCGTTAAAAGGTTGTTTTTTTTATTGTAATATTATTATTATCAGCCTATCTGACTTTCCCGAATCAAACATTTATTCTCCTCGGGTTTGGGCAAATGTAAAACATTATGATATGATGAACATATATGATTTCTGCTCAAAAACATTTTTCTTTCATTACAATATTTCACGTTCGGCATCGCGCTAATTAAACCGCTTCATTAATGAAAAGCATGTTTCTCTCAGACGGTTCAGCTCGTTTAAAGAAGAAGAAGAAGAAGAAGAAGAAGAAGAAGAAGAAGAAGAAGAAGAAAGAAACAGCATCAATTAGAAATTCATCTGATCTTAATGCGCAGTCACGCGCGAGACCCGCGAGACCACGCAATCCCTCTCACCATCTATCTATCTATATCTCTATCTATCTATCTATCTAT